TAGGAAACACTTTATGTTGGCTTTGAAGAAAGCTCTTGTCTCTTTTTAGTTTACTCCTCTTTGGTATTCTTCATATGATTAGACATCTTGCTTCTTTCATCTCTATTTTTCAAATATTTTCCTTTCATATTACAAAAAAAATTAAACACATCCTACATTAACACAAATTTACTTAATAAATAAAGAAACTCATTCTTAAAATGGGATTATAACAGGCATAGGGATTTGGAAAACACAATTCATTCTGTAACACCTCTCAGTGTAGGAAAAGAAGAAAATTCTAGTTGACTACCAAGTAGGATTTTGTGGTTGGGTTAGGACAATATATTCTCTTGAGACAGTAATGTGTAAAGAATTATATATGATATATGTAATTCTGCACTGGATTTTATGTTCCTTCTTTATATTTCTTTGCTTTCTCAAAAATTCCAACAGAATGTGGAAATTATAAAAAAATAACATTAATACAGTAAAATCTTGATGCAGATTATTAAAAAATGTCTGGAATATCAGGGAGTAGCTAGAAATTCAGGTACCAGCACTGATATTAGATGGAGCTTGGCTGAAAGCAGAGAATAATAGAAAGATGTTTATAAGATTTTTATTGATTTTGTAAAGGTTTCACTCTTTAACTTATACCAAGTTATGAATAATATTGAAAAGAATCTGAATCCTAGGACACATAGTTGTGCTCATGGAAAATGTGTAAATAGACAAGAATATTTTGTTTGAGCCGAACAAGAGAACTTTGCATTTTGAAAAACTGAAAAGGTGTCCATCAGGGTGTTAGGAGTTTTTCATAGAATCACTCACATACATTGTATTTTATATATTTAATATTAATCTGTGCCTATTATTATTCTGTATTTTTGAGTCTCCATTAAATCTTTCCTATTTCTTCTCTAACAGTTTGTTCTGGATACTGTTTGAAATATGGGAAATAGGTTGTAAGTGGAATATGGAAAATAGATTGTAAGAGTAGAAGTAGGATCTGCACAGCAGGAGGCTGAGGTGAGGCTGTGGTGCTGGAGGATGAAGTGAAGTGGAGATAGCTGCTAAGAAGCTGCACTGCATTCCCAAAGGCACATGGTATAAATTCCACAGGAGGATGGGCAATCTCCTCCCAGACATTTACTGCCCCTGAAAACCACTGGAGGGTCATCTATGGGTCAGTTCAGACTCGATGGGAAACAACAATAATTTTGTAAACTACTGGCAAGGGTGAACACTGTAGTATCATTGCTGCTGTATTGTGAAAGGTGAATTAAAGTTGAGAATGGAAGATAGTTGTAGGAAGAGAAGCACAAAAAGTGGGAATGGAGATGGTATAAATATGGCATATTTTACTTTACTGCTACCCATAGAATCACACACACAAGCAAAATCCTGGTGAAGATTATCCAGAAACAGTTGGAACAGAGAACTACCAGAGGTACAGGTGAGTTTTAGAAGAGATTGTGGACACTAGACACTTTATCTTCAATGTCAGATGGATCTTGGCTGAAAACAAACCATATCAGGGGACTGGCTATCTGTGTTTCATTGTCTATGCAAAGGCATTTGACTGTGTGGATCACAGCAAATTGTGGCTAACTTTGAGAAGAATGGGAACCCCAGAACTCTTGATAGTGCTCATGCAAAACCTATACTTGAATCAGGAAACAGTTCTCAGAACAGAGCAAGGAAACACTGCATGATTCAAAATCAGAGAACATGCACATCAGGGTTGCATCTTATCTCCATACCTTTTCAATCCATATGCAGATTCATGAGTCTAGACTTTATGAGGAAGAATGTGGCAACAGGATTGGAGGAAGTCTCATAAACAACCTGCATTATGCAGATGATACAAACTTGCTAAAACTGAGGAGGACTTGAGGCATTTGCTGCAAAAGGATCTAGGAATGCGGGCTTCAATATGGATTGAAAGACAACACTTCTCACCACTGGGCCAGTTGGTAGCACCATGATGAGTGGAGAAGAGATTAAGATTGTTTACATTTTCAGCTTGCTCAGCTCCACAATCAACACTCTTGGTACCAGCAGTTAAGAAACCAAAAGACAAATTGTATTGGGGAAATCTGCTGTCAGGGACCTCTCCAATGTTCCAAAGAGCATGGTTGTCACATTGGAGACTAAGGTGCACCTGATTCTGGCCATAATCTTCACAATTAATTGCTGTACATCAGAGAGCTGGGCAATGACTAAGGATGACAGTAGAATAATTGATGCCTTTGAGTTGTAGGGTAGGAGAAGCTTCTTGACCATACCATGGACTTCCAGGAGAACAAACAGGTCTGTATTGGAGAGGGTGAAACCAGACAGCTCCTTGGTGGCAAGGCTTTTGAAGCTCTATTTCATATACTTTGGGCACTTGGCCAGGAGGGACCACTTACTGGAGAAGGACATCATACTTGGAAGGGTGGAGGAACAGCACAGGAGAGGAAGACTTCAAATGAGAAGAATTGACAAAGTAACTGGAGTAATGAGGTAGGTGTATCAGAGACAGTGAGACTGGCTCAGGTTAGGGCTACATTCAGATCTTTTGTATGTAGGGTTGCTATGAGTTGCTGGTGGGTTGACGGCATGAACAACAACAGTCTGTGGAACAGTAACAGGGTCCTGCCCTGTTATATCGAGCAGATTCACCGACAGAAGGGATGAGGATTAAATGAAGACACAGACTACTCCCAGCTCAAAAGGCGAGCTTTCTCAAGCTGGTACAGCCAACACGGGAGTTTTCTCCACCCTGTATTAAAGGCTGTTGGGAGGCTTGCACTTCTCTGGAGCTTAGACAATCCGTCCTGGCCAGAGACCCTACCTTCCTCCCCAACATCTCACAACAGTGACCTAGTCACAAAAAAACCTATACTATAGTACCAAGGACACACTGTTAAAATCCACCAGTCACTGAGGGAAAAAGATGGGCAGTCTCCCCCTGGGCAGTTTACTGCCTCTGAGGATCAGCTGTGGGTCAGTTCTGATTTAACAGCACACACCACCACCAACTACTACAAAAGGACAAGCAATGAAATGTGTGTTTTTGTATGTACAATACATGAAGAAGATCTGTTCAGTTTCTTAAGCATAAAGTTTATGGTGCTTTGAGGGCATGTTGAAGAAAATGCATTTTAGACAGTTTTAAAGTTTGTTTTATGGTTAACACCAGAGACTCTCTCCTATTAGGATAGGCTTGAAGTACCATGCCAGCTTATTGTATGTCCCACAAAGGCAAATTGAGGAGTTAGAATCCTGTGGCCAAAAGCCTAAGTTAAAGCAATAGATCAAAGACTTGCTAGGGTGGAAAAAAAAATGAAGCAAAAACTTTTAGAAAGAAGATGAAAAGCAATTGGGTACATACATTACTGGTGAACATGGTTGGAGCTGAAGTGTATAAAACTGTGTGGTTTGGTATAGGTTAGGAGTATTCAGTGTAGGCTTGACCTCAGTAATTAAGTAGTTTACTTGCTTCAATAATTTTGTTGGTTTTACAAACTTCCTATAAAAATTATGATATCCACAAACAGGTTCACAGAACTTAAGTGAATTAACCTTTTCATTGGTATTGGATTATATCTTCATGGTTTTTATCTTTTTCTATAGGGCGGTGTTATTTAGCCATATGTATAAATGCCCACCATCCTTTATGCCCACTATCCTTTATTGTGAAACTTATGTGTTAGGAAATGATATTAGGAATGAGTTCCCTGAGCTTTACTTTCTACAAATTTATCCCATTCAATAATGAATTTAAGAGATTAGTGTTCCATGTATTAGCTGTGCTCCTAAGGATAATTTTTTTGAGTGATTATCTTTTTTTTTCCTTTTTACATTATCTTTACTTACTGCACAAGTTTTTCTTCAGTAACTCTAGAATACACAGCTGTCTTTCTGTCAGCTCGCTCTGCTGTGATGGTTTGCATGTTGCTTGAAGTTGTACCATTGTTATTTTGTACCACTGGTACTACCTACCACTAGGTCCACTATTGGTGGACAGGCTTTGATGGTGTTTCCATACTAAGACTAAAAAGAAAGGACTTACTGTCCATTTCTGAAAATCAGCCAATGAAAATTTAATTAATCATAGCAGGTTATTGTATTATATAGTGCTGGAAGATGGGCCTCCTAGGTTGAATGTATTCACAATGCCTGTTACAGTCGACTCAAATATATTAGCAACTGTGAAGGTGGTGCAGGACTGTGCAGCATGTTATTGTACATGGGTTGCCCTGCATTGGACTGTCTCTCTACCAACTAGTAACAATAATAATAGAGTGCAAGCAATGACAAAAATAGATAAGATCAAAAACTGCCTCTAAGAATTGTATACACTAGTAAGAATAAGACCATATCACTAACTATAGTCAATAAGGCTGGAGTACAAAGCTATTGATACCAGCGAAAGGAATGAAATTGAATGCATTGTTATAAAATCAGTTACAAAATGACCTTATGTTATTGTTAGGTACTGTTGAGTTGGAACCAACCCATAACTGACCCTTGTCCATTCTTTATTATGTTGAGCAACTATTGGATCCAGACTGCATGACTTTGGGATTGCAGTGTAGCTTCTTACTAGGCCATCAGAGTTCCCTATAGAACAGGCTAAATCTACTGCACAGGTTTGCTAAGTCAATAGATCTTTCTGGCAGCAGACTGCTATACCTTTCTCCCACAGAGCAGCTGAACACTCAGTCAGTACATCCCTAGAGCATCACTATGAGGATGAAGCGGTTATTAATTTGGCTAAGAGAAAGGGTCTTTTAGAAGTCTTTTGGAAGAGGTTGTTGTTGTGTACCCTTGAGTCATAACTGACCAATATCAGACCCTTTGGTGGGTTTTTTAATTTTTATTTTTATTAGTTTTAATGAACATTTACAGAGATTTTGGGTTTTCATTCATTCATTGTTGCACCGTTTTCTCCACCCTCCTCCCCAGTCCGTTCCTCCCTCCCCCCCATGTCTGTTTTAATTGTCCAATTGCCACAGTGCCCGCCAAAGCCAGTTCTGATCAGTCTCCCTTGTCAGTGTGTCCCTTGCCATTCCCTATCTCTCCTCCCTGAGAGAGACTTCACCCTGATTCATAAGGAAAAGGGGATGGCGCATTCTCTTAGCTACTTCCTGCTGAAAAGGGACGCTGTGGGTTTCAGGGTGAAGGTCTTCTCTCACTACTCTAAAGGGCCCCTTTGGCAGTAGGAAACACATAGACTATTATGGAGATCGACCCTGGAATTTAGATGCACTGCCATCAACCGTGCCCAGCCGTACATGCTCATATCCTTGAAGATGTATCATGGAAGTGCTGAAGCCTTCAAACTGCAAAGCAGCAAGATGTTCTTCCTTTATCTTGAGTTTCAGCTCATTTTTCCTTTGCATCTCAGCGATTTCCTCTGGGGTGGCTAGTACAGGTAATGATTCTGCTACAGATGGTGATTTACCAGAATTGCTGAGTCAACCCGAGGGCAGGTCAGTAGTGATGCAGCTCCCGCCTGGCCGCAGCTCCCGCGCTCCCGCTGGCTGTAGTGCATCTTTTTACCACTAAGCATAGTAGAGTTCCTCCAGCAATCGGGTGATGAGACTATCCACGTTCAGCTCCTCGTCTTGTCGGCACTCCCCGGGTCTTCTAGTTCACCCTTTTCCTGACGAGTCCACTCTCCAGATGATTCCCCCAAATGGACTCTTCATGCATCTCTCCATGTGTAAAGCAGCTTTTTGTGGTGTGACTTTTCTCTTTCTCGCTGTTTTCTTTATCACATTGTTCCTGGGCCGGGGCTCTCCCCACCTTTGGTGGGTTTTGAGAGGCAGTTCATCATACAGGAGATTGCCCAACCTTCTCCTGATGAGCAGCTGTTGACCTCTAACCATGTGCCTTTGGATTCTGCCACTAGACCACCAGCGCTCCACGACATTGGAAGAAGTTGCAGGGCAGTATTTTAGGCAAAAGGGAACAATTTAGAATACAGACACAGGAACCTTATAAAAAAATGGTTCCATTTGACTATTGCATACAGAACAGAAGTGGTTTCCTGGAAAATAACATGACAAAACAGATTGGAGACTGTTAAAAGAATTGTAAATTGCAGTTAGTGAAAAACATTATTCTGTGGGAAATAAGGACTTTTTGAGGTTTTTCTACCAGAAAATAGAAAACTAGCATAGATCAGCTATATACTGTCTATATTTGTGCTCTATAATATGCTTTTGATTGCATTTTTCCTTTCGGTAATCTGAAGGATAAGATTCTTTAGGCAAAGTAATTATGGAGCAGTGTTTAGAATTGATTAGGAGAGAGGAGGAATTAGAGACAGGAACATTATAGTCATTATTTGAATATTCTATGCCATTTCTTTAGTGAGAAAAAACCCCAGATGTGAGAAAAGTATTTAATTAATTTAGTAAATATTTACTCTATCTCAGGTTGAAGGGATATGTTTGCAAATGAGGCATTCTAAATCTCCTATGGAGCACCCATTCTTGTGATCAGACAGAAAAACCAGCCATTAATGATTAGATGATGATTAGTAGTATCTGGAGAAATGAAGAAATTCATAAATAGGAAGTGGGAAGAATACATTTACAAATTGGCCATCATAATATTAAAAAACAAAATATGTATGGAATGGAAAAGCAATTTTATTTATGAACTCACTTAAATCACAGTTGACAAAATAAACAAAGTAATGTGACAGAATAAGCTGCTGGGCAAATGGCTACTATACTTTGCTAACAGAATAGTTTGAAAGCAAAAAATACCAGAAAAAATTTCACTTTGGTTCTATTGCTGATACAAAGGCTTTCACCTGTGTGGGTCACAAAAAATTTATGAGTGACATTTCAAAGAATGGGACTTCTAGAACACTTAATAGTGCTTATGCAGAACCTGTATATAGACTAAAAAGCCACTGGGGGATTCGGCATGATTTAAAATCAGAATGGTGTGTCAGAATTAAGTTCTATCTGTATCTGAGTATGTAATCTGAGGAGCTGAACTATGATATCAGGATTGAGGAAGACTCCTCAACAACTCGAAGTATGCAGATATCACAGCCTTGCTTACAGAAAAGGAAGACTTGAAGCACTTACTGATGGTACTCAAGTGCTATAGCCTTCAGTTTTATGCCTCAATAAAATTCCACACAGTTGGATAGTGAACATGATGATAAACAGAAAAAAATTAAATTTCCACAGATTTTCTCTTTTATCCATAACAATGTCTTAGGCTATTAGGTGTATTTCTGTTTTTATATCTACTTTCCTGAAATACCTGTTCATATCCTTAGCCCATATAGTAATTATTTGTTAGCTTGATAAGTTTTGTGACTTAAAACAATGTGGATTTTTTCTTTTGGGTTTTTTTTTTGGGGGGGGGGTGGTTGGCTTTTTTTGTTTGTTTGTTTTTTTGAGGGGAGATGTTTTTTAATGTGCATTCTTCACCAGATAGATGATGTGCAGATATTCTCTTAGAATTTATGGCTTGGCTTTTCATTGTCATATCAGATTAACTGTTGGTGAAATCTTACTTCATTCAACAATTTCACATTTTCAATACAACTTATAAATACAACTTACCTATTCTTTTAATACTTGATAAATAATTTGTATAAACAATATGTACCAGACTCTGCTTGATCAGTGCTTGTGTGTGCTTGTGTATTATCTCTTATAAATCTAATGGCATATATTTTGAGTAAGTCATGTCTGATGACTTAGAGAGTAAGCATAGCCCTCTAACTCTAAGAGATGCCCCATTTGACTTCAGCTTCACCTCAGTCTCTTATGGGGGCGGGGGCGGGGAATTAGAAATTTCAGAGAGATACCATATGGTGGCTTCATTTTCTTGATATTTATATGAAGAAAAGTTATCCGAGTAATAAGTACCATATGTTTGTATTCATAGATTGAAACACTAAGGAGCTCTGGTGACTTAGTAGTAAGAAAATGTGTTGCCAATGCACAGGTACATGGTTCAAATCCATCAGCTCCTCTATGGGAGAAAGATGGGCGGTGAACTCCTGTGTGATTTACTGCCTCTTAAAAACCCTTTGGAGGGTCAGCTATGGGTTGGTTCCAACTCTGTGGTATATGACAACAATAAAAGCAATTGAAACGGGGGGAGGGGCCTGGGGGGTGTGGGGAGAAGGGTGCAACAATGAATGAATGGAATTCCAAAATCTCTGTAGATGTTCATTGAAATGAAAAATAAACTAAATTTAAAAAAAAAAAAAGCAGTTGAAACACTTACTGCAGAGAGTCAAAGACTGTGGCCTTCAAGATGAATTACATCTCAATAGCAAGAAAAAAAAAACCCTCTTTTTTTTTTAACTTCCTGGGTTATTCAATATATTGTCCATAGAACTTTCAATATTGTAACTCAAGGCTTAAATTGAGAATTGCAAATCGAGTTCTTCCCTTTCTATTTTCAAACTCTAGCTCTCTGCACATTCTATTAAAATATTTTGCTTTGTCTTCTCAAGCTGCCCTTTGAAATTTTCTGTTCAGATCTCTTAACTTCAATATGTTTTCCCTTGTTTTGTTTACATAATGCTCCAGTGCAATTTTCAGAGCCTCTTCTGAGATCTATTTTGGTTATTTCTTTCTTCTCTATCTTTGTAATGACCTTTTTTTCTCTTCATGGGTGAGTTCCTTGATGTTATCCCATAACTCATCTAGTCTTTGGTCATTGGTGTCCAATGCTTAAAACCCATTCTTAAAAAGATTTTGAAATTCAAATGGAATACATTCAAGATCATATTTTGGTTCTCATGAACTTATTTTAGTTTTCTTTGGCCCCCATTTGAACTCGCACATGGGTAGTTGATGGTCTCATCCACAATCTACCCCTGCTCTAGTTCTGACTTTTGATACTGAGGTTCTGCAGTTATTTCTTCCACAGGTGTAGTCAGTCTGATTCCTATGCAATCCATCAGGTGAAGTCCATATGTAAAGTTACTACTTGTGTTTTTTAAAAAAAATGTATTTGCAATAAATAAGTCACTGAAAATACAATTTGATTATTCTGTTTTTAGCCTCATTTCTGTCAATGAGTCCATACTTTCTGACTCCTATTTCTGATTACTATTCCTTCTTCATCTGGAGAGAGGATGAAAGACACCCAAGCATTGAGGACTCTCCTTCATAGGGTCTCCATGAGTTGCCTGTGACTCAATGGCACTTAGCAACAACAACAGCATTCCTTCTTCATTGTTTCCAACTCTTGCATTCAAGTCACCAATTATCATTAACACATCTTGATTGCATGTTTGGTCAGTTTTGAACTTCAAGATTGGGTAAAATTTTTTAATATTCTCCTCTTTGGCTTTAATATCCTGTTACAACATTGTAATTCAAGATAGAACTTGATACTATCATTTTGACTATGAATGGAACACAATATTAGGGAAGAACCATATTAGGAAAAGTCAAAAGTCTAGAATCAAGTTTAGTAGTTTAATATGCCCTTAGGCCTGGTTTTAATTGGTTTTGGTCAAACATTCTTCTATGTAGTATCACAGTGGTCTATTCATTTGTTGTACAGAGGTAACTCATGGTTGTTGTGATGCTAAACACTATGACACTGATGTGTCAAATGCAAAAATGGTTACCCATGGTAGACAGTGTTTGGTGGAGCTTCTCAATCAAAACAAGCTTGGAAACAAGAGTGGCATCTACTTCCAAAATAGCTTGCCTCCAGAAACTTTATGAATGTCGAGAAAGGATGAGTGTTCAGGTGTTCAGGTCTTTCATTCATAGGGTCACTATGATTTGTTTATGACTTGATGAGTTACAGAGGAAAAGTTTAACAGAGCAGCAGGTAATAGATGTTGGAGAAGTTGTGCCAAGAAAGGAGCTATTCTACATTGTTGGTGGGATTGTAAAATGGTGCAACCATTCTGGAAGGCAATTTGGCGCTTCCTCAAAAAGCTGAACATAGAAATTTTATATGACCCAGCTATTCCACTACTTGGAATATACCCTGAGAATATGAGAACTGAGGCACAAATGAAGATTTGTACACCAATGTTC